CTGGCCACGAAATTTCAGTTTTGCTTGATTTTTCCTGGCATTGGCTCTTAACGTTTATTTTATTATTTCCATAGATAAGGAAAAATGGCAGCCACTCCCACTGGTGACCATTACCGAAGAGAATGAAGAGGCACTGGGTAACAAGCTGTTCCGACAAGCGTTAAAGAAAGTTGGTCTGAAGCCTCCAGCAAATGAGCAGGTGGGTTGGAGCTGCTGAATACATCCTGTGCTTGGCTTAAAAGCAACAGCCGAAGCTCGAGGAAAAGTATCCAATCTTTCCTGTAGCCTTAAATCTGCGAAAACGAGCATAGATTTTAGCAGCAAATTTGGCCATTTTAGCTTTGCCAACGTGAAAACCATTTTGTTTTTGTCATGTTTCTTTACAGATTACACTACAATTGAAAATCACCGGCTCTTTACCAAAGTCACAAATCCTGGTTCACAAGAATTTATGGTATTTAAAACTAACATAGTTGACTCTATCATTAGGAAACCTTTTGGCGAATCCCAGTCATTCTAACCCCAGAAAAGCTGAGAAGAGCAGCAAAGGACCTTGATGGAAGGGAAGAAGACGGAGAAGGTATCAAAATTGAAAGCCACTTCATGTATAGTGTCCAGTGGTGATATATCGCTTTGTTGCGATATGACTTATGGCGATCACTCGAGCACTCCGAGTCATTTATTAAAGGAGAATGGATGCGCCGCATAATGTTCACACTGAGATCGCTTTTAAAACTCTCCTTACAAATTTACGTGATTGAATAATCACTAGCACCTCAAGTGGTGGGTCTTTCATGTTATGACTATTGACATGGATTCCACACAAAATGCTAATTTATTTGATTTGTTTCTACATCATGGTGTAAAGGTGCACCGTGTTGGACGCGAATTTCCCTTCGCTAATAATAGCAAACTAGAGGACAAATTGACTTTCGATTTACACTGCTAATATTAACATATAAATATGAACATGCACCCCGGCGGGATACGGCAGGGTGAAAGAAACTAGAAAACCGAGCGCGCGTTACTGCCTTCGAGCTGGGAAACCTGTAGTCCGCACTTGGCTCCAAGATTTTATTTCCCCTCTCTCTATATGTCCTACTAGAGAGGCTGCTGTTTATATCACTGAGATCATAACAAAGAACCCAGTCACGGGATCTCTCCGTCTATCGTTCGCCTGTACCGTAACATGTCTTCATTGTTTTCTCGCCATTGTTAGGTCACGATGCAATTCCAGTAACACCGTCAGTTACCAGTAAAAGCAAGTCACGTAAAGAGACTTTAGCTGCACTTGCTGCCGCACAGAAAAACAAGAAATCAGCGTCAAGTCGAAAACGGAAGGAGAGGAATCGCTCTACTCAGGCAACGAGGACAGGAGGAAAAGAATGGAGAAAGACGGTGAATGAAATTGGACCAGACGATAACACAGCCAATGACAACGAAAGGTGTGTGGCGTTATATTTAGTGGTCAATGTTATTTTCAACTGTGGTATGAACCTGTATTGGAAAATTGTGGTATTCACCGCAACGTAGATTCTTCTAGTAACTACAAATGAAAGTGTAAGTGCAGAAAACTATGAACAACTGGGTATGTACGATTTTGTTTCGATTTTTCTGAAGTTGCAAGCAATCTACAACTCATGAAGGTGTCAGCTGATCTATCATGGGTAAAATCACTATTATGTATGTAAAGTAAATCTTGCCTTATGATCAAGTGGTCAAAGGATTGATAACGCCATCCACTGAACAAATCGCTATCTAGTGTTTAAGTGTTGAAAAAACTTACTACTGGATAGTGCGTTATCCTCCACTCTTTGAACATATGGGCCAGCAAAAACCATCGTATGTTGCAATTCTTCACAGTCCCAGGATTCGTCGTTTGACCTTTTTGCAGTTTGTAGTCGGGCGCTAAACAGTTAGACAGTTTATTGTCTTCGATTTTGGGAAACAAATGTATGTCTTTCTTTACCACAGTGACGAGGAATCAGGCGACAAGGGAGATGCGGAGCACAAACAATCGGGATTGCTCTCGCCCTCTGGGGAACAAAATAGTAGCAGCGGAGGAAAATCTTCTAAGAGAGGTAAACGTCGAGTAAGAGCACTGGATGATAGCGATGAAGATGGCACTGGATTAGACAACGTTCTTCAAAACGGAGACAAGTCTGGTGAGAGTGAAGATGACGAGGGAGCGGACAAAGAAAATACTCAAGCTACGAAGAAGGCTACAACATCAGATAGTGATGATGGTGATGATTTAGAATACAGCAGAAATATATCAGACAGTGAAGATGTTAATAACAATGCTGACAAGAGTCAAAGCGAGGCTGGGAAGAAACGGCCGAGAGATGATAACGATGATGAGAGTAGTGATGATGACGAGGAATTCAACTTGCCACTAAATTTTCACAAGAAAGCCAGGCGTGTTCTAGTTGACGATGATGACGATTAAAGAAACGACCAACTGAAGAGCAAGACTTTAAATTACAGCGTCGAAAGTGTGATACGATTCTTGATGTTTCCATTAAACAGCTCTTATAACAGATGGCTCTGGTCACTCACCTTCTATTTTGTTAAAGGAAACCAGCAGTGTTGTAACATTGATTTCTGATCGTCTTTTGAATCGGTCACAAAATCCACACATAAAATTAACATTACATAGATCCCAGTCATTCCTCTGTAAATTCACGTCAAATATCACTTTTTAGCAATTCGCCGCCATCATGGAAGATCGTAATGAACGCTGGGATTTTTGACGTTTTACGCGGCTCCCCGCGGGTCGCGGAAGTTTAAGGCCGAAAAATGTGAACGTAAACATATCAGTCACGCACAATTTCGGGTGCGATATGCCGCATTCTTGCGCAATTTGCTGTAGTTTTACATCCAAAAAGGATACGAACACCGAGTACATCTCTTCATAGTTTTCCAAAGGAGCCAAAAGAGAAAAAAGGTGGATAAATGGAGTGAAGATTATCGTGCCAGAGTTAAATCAATGCGGCGTAGCTCGTTTGAGGCCGGAAGATCCTCCATTCGTCTGCTCTTCGTGCTGCGCCATTTCTTATTCTGAAGGAGGGACTTTTCTGACCCAAAAACACTTTGTAAAGAACCGGGACCATCTTTGAAAAGTTTTTCTGCGCTTGCGTTGAGCTTGTTGTCAAACTCAACTTGGGCAACGAACTTCCTTTTGTCAGCACTGGGGTCTGTTTGTTGAGTACTTTGCCTTGCCTCGTTCTGAGTTGCTGTTGCTTTATTTTTTGCTTCCGGCTTTTTCATCCGCTTAAAAATGTCTCATACATATTTATATAAATATATTATCTCTTACTTTGAGGTTCAAAATTGAATTGAAAAAAATCAGTGCTTGCGTTCACACTTGAGGTGCCTTCGAACGAACACACAGTCTACATTAACGAGACAAAGCCGCAATTCAGAAGCCATAGTTTGTCAATCTTGTTTCTTGTCCACTTTACTCATTGAAAAATTTAGAAAACATCCCGTCAGTCAACTATAAAAAATTAGACAAAATCTCAAAGGTACTGATTTGCTTCCGGGCAACTGCACTTTCGATGACGTTGAAACTTATTTCACAAACACCTCGGAAGAAAAAAAACGTTTTCAGCCAAAGAAAGAGTAAAAAATTGAAAGACATCACCATGGTCCAGCTGCCTATGGAGGTAGAGATCATATACAACCGCTGTAACGGGGTAAGAATTTTGATCATAAACTTGGTCGATCCCCACTAACACAGCTGGCCTGGTGACAGTAACAATGCCTCCCCCTCTCTTTTCCCTCTCTGTTCGGATCCAACTAATCTTCTACACCCAAACCTTCCTTTTTCTCTCTTCGTGGAAGGATAGCAAGTAACCTGGTTGCTCCCTCGTTTGTCATGCGAGAATCACGGATGACTCCTTCCGTCGAAGGTGTCAACCGGGACCACCTAAACCCTCCAAGTAAAAAACACTGCGCTGACACCATCTCTTTTGCTTCGTTCAAAGTTTCGACCAATGACTACTCTTGCAGTACAACTGAATGTCAAATTCAAACCGTCTCCACCCCCACCGAAACGAAGCTCTTCAAATAATTGCGGTCCCCTTTCCACAGTTTGCCAGATCTGCTACCCTCCTTTTTTTCCGTCATTCATTCCAAGATTTTTATCCCACCGTTTCTCATTAGCTGTTGCTCGCACAGCGGCATCAACTTCATCTCTTATTTTGTTGTAGTTCACGAGCTCTTCTTCGAGGGTTCTCTTCAGTTCCAAATAAGGCTGCAAACTTCCGTGGCTTTTGTTGGTCTTTGTTGCGCCCCATGAATTCTTGTGAACTCGAGGTCGCAAAGTTTCGGCGATTCTACCCTCAATGTCACTCTTTCTTCCACTTCCACTTTTCTTTAACTTACTAACGGTAGTCATACTATCGATTCGTCTTCACTTAGTGCCCCTTTTATTCAATGGGGTATTTTCAGTTTTCTTTAAAAAACAAACAAACAAACAAATCTGCTCTCGATCTCCATTTTTGAGGATTTTTTCGGTTAATGATATGCTGGATGAGAGACCCTTGGTCCCTRGCTCTTCTCTCCACAGGCGGCCCAGACGTTGAATACGATTAATACGTGACATTATTCTGTTGGCGATTGCGTTACAATTTTAGCCGTTTATAAGACAACGTATGAGAATGCTTCGAAAATTACTCTAAATGCTACGTGTAGAAAACAATTTGAATAAAATGGCTTACCTTGTGTTTGCATTGCGTTATTTTGATTTCCCTGGGTTCCTGGAGGTGGTTTAGAGCCATTTAGGCGAGTTTTACTTTCTGGCGGTTTGCTTCCCCTAAAGAGAAACGAAAGGCGGGCCAACCGTCGAGAGGCACGGGGAATTGGTCAGTTACTCGTTGCCATCTCTCGCTGCAGTTAACAGTGCTTTTAGGCGCTAAATTCAGCTGAACATTGTTTGCTTCTTGTATTGCCGTGCCTCTCGACGGTTGGAGGCGACTTTGTCACGATGGCGCGGTCGTTAAGCTAAAAATTCAAATCCTGTGCCCAAGATAATCGGTTACGGATCGAGACGGAGCAGAAATGGAAAGCAAGAGCTGGAAAACCAGCGATTCTCGGGCGATTAAGATAAACTTTGTTTACCGGGTGGTCTTGGTACCTGTCAGGGTGTTTACCGTGCGGTCTTGGTACCTGTCAGGGTGTTTACCGGGCGGTCTTGGTACCTGTCAGGGTGTTTACCGGGCGGTCTTGGTACCTTTCAGGGTGTTTACCTTCAAAAGGTCCGCAGCGGGAGCTTTTGCGGTATCTTTTAGGGTATTGAGCCGAAAAAAAAAATATGACAGGAGATAATGTGTTGGTACCTCTTAGGGGTGAAAAAAAATCAAGGCCACGCCCACAAAAAATGATCTTGGTACCTCTTAGGAATTTTATGGAAAATTTCCGACGAGCACCCCTGTCCTTTTTCTATGGGAGTTCCCCACCCCCCTGGGTTGAGAAGGGTTTCTCTCCCGTGAAATATTTCAATAGCACAGACCCTTTCAAATGGTATTAGAAACGTTAATGGAGAACTTAAGCCTGAATTTAATTATAATAAGAAATGGATGTATGGATGAGTGATGGTTGCATATTTAAACAACGCAAGTAAATGCGATACAGCCAGTTTCAAGTTTACGTTAAGGTAGAATTTTCTTTCACCACTTTCATTTACGACATGAAAATGAACTTATTTACCCTGCAGAGAGTCGCTTTCCCCAAAGCAGGGTAGTATTGATTATCCCATTGCTAAGTTTATCAATACAGGGCCTGTGGATTATACAAAGTAAAACTTCCGTTATTTTCTTTCCATCCTTTTAAGGGTGTTAATAACTATGCTTATTCAAGACTGGATTGTGGTCCATAGTTATCCTATTTCTTGGTTATTGAATTGAGACCATTGAAGCAAGTGTCACCTGAGGACACAAGTTTCAAATTACTACATAACTAAACGTCATGCAGTGCCGTTCATTGACAGGGCAGTGAATTCCTTTAGGAACTCTTCAGCATCATTTCTTGTTTTCAAAGTGCTAGCCTTCCCTTGGTATCTTCCTTTTTTTCCTCCGCCTTTGCCTTGAAGGAGAGTGGCAATCCTGTCAATGGCAACAAAGCCGGTTATTCGTACAGCCTGTCGACTCAACAGCAACCTCGTTCCCAGGGCACCAATGGAATAAAGTAACGTAGTGGTGTCAAACTGGTATTCTCTAAAACACGGGATTCATCATTTGGGAAAACCTTTCTGAAAAGATTCGCGCCAGTCCAAAGTAGTTATTAATTGCAAGCAGTGGCTGAGATGATTTTATACGGCAGTTATTTTCTAGGCTCTTCTTATTTTGAGTCTTGGTTCAGTTTGGAACAAAAGCAAGGTATCAGATCATGTACAGTTATTTCTATCTGCATGATATCACTAGCATTTGACCACTACACTCTTTCTTTTCTATAAGAATACAATTTATAAGAATACCGAGGCTGAAATTTGCGAAATCTTAATAATATTTTACGAATAAACCCGAGGCTGAGATTTTCAAAAAAATATAATTTTGTGTGTTGAAAATTTGTAAATACAAAACAGTTATATGTTTTTAACTAAGGCGTGTAAAATCTTCCTTTCTCTAAACGGAAAAACTGGCCAAAAACAACAACAACAGCACTAGCCGTATGTTCGATGCTAATAACATTTCTGCAAGAAATTATTTACGTCATTTCAGGCTTTAATGCATGCAGTCTTATTCCAATACAGAACTTTAACAACTTCAAGACACCAAATACATTCCAAAACAGAAATGTCATACGCTATAATATTCTTACAAAAGAAAAGACGGTATGTACCTACAAAGAGCGACTCTACGTTGCCGTTTACTGCCGTGGTTTTTTTTTTTACTTTTGAGGGACTCCATATTAAAAAGAACGTTATTGTTCGCTTATAATAATGTCGTTTCTTTCTCTGCGTCAATAGTTTGATAGATAGGGCCCTGACGAAACTTCACTGAAATCAGAATCATCGAAAACGGAGCTAGATGAAAACGAGACTTAAAAGAAAATGCAGCAATATCATTTTGGTGTGGACAGGCAAAAACCCCGGAAATGTTTCTAACTGGAAAGCGTGTTGACAATTAATCGTGCTAGTACTAACAGCATTTTAAAACACACGTAACGCTTGACCATATCGTTTTCGGATTACCGCCACGCTGCATTTCAGGTTCCAGTAACAGCGGAGACTGATGAAAACTGTGAACCGTAAAAACTTCAATATTGTTACACTACTTACTGAGGTCCTATTTGAGACACTTGCTTTTCGTCTCCACAAAGAAGGAATTGCCCAGGCCCTTTGTCAGGTCCAACTGTCACTAGTACGGGAAGAGGCTGCAAACAACAAATACAGCCAGATCAAAGCACCACTAAATGGGATAAGCGAAAAAAAAAAATACTACGGCGTCAAAACCTTTCTAAAAAGACAGGATTTGATGAAATAGTAGGTGCACTAACTTGATCCGACAACTGATTCACAAGTGCATTCATGTAGTCCATGTCTCCATTTTCTCTGTAAAATAAATGTAACTACAATAAATAACAGAGTGACACCAAATTGGTCATTACTGTTCCCTGAGTGCACAAGAAAGGTATCTGTATCCACGAGAGCGAGGTTTTATAAAACGGAAAAGTTACGCGGTCATTATGTTTTGTAAAGCCTTCACATTTTTGATGTGAGGTTTATATGAAATAATTCATATATGAACTGCGGTTGTAGATGAAAGTGAAGAATGATCATCGCAGTTAATTTTCCAATTTAA